TACTAGATAGTATAAATTTAATATAAGTTCTTATAATTATTTAAATTTGTAAAACTAAAAAAAAAAGCCTATTTGAAAAAATTTAAACAAAAAGATAACATAAACTTTTAATAATATAATTGTAAATATTAGATCTAAAAAATAAATATTAATATAAAGAAGTTGAATAAGTAAAAATCTTTAGATAACTAAATTGGAAGTCTGATGAAAAGGAGAGATATACTAAAGTACTAAAGTTATGCTATAAAGTAGATATTAAGATTTAAGTAAACTCTATAAGAGCATAGTGGTTAAATAATATAGCTCTGACTGCAATATTAATTCTGCTATAACAATACTAAATTAGCTATAAAAATAGATACAGAAGGCTTCAAAAAGTTTATTTCAAGAATAAAATAGTTTTAATATTAAGACAATGATCTGGGCATTTGAATATAATCTAGTAATATTAATACAGATTACAGGTTCAGAAGGTTTAAAGTAAAAACTCAAGCAGGAGTATTAGATACAGCAATTAGTAGAGAACCTTTAGCAAACTTCTTAAATAGGTAATATAGAAAAATTACATATGTAGCTAATTGTACACTCTTTTATAGTGGTTTATTGAATCACATTATCAAAAAAATTATTAATAAAAGTCAAAAGACCAAAGAGGTTATCTTAATACCAAAAAAAAATCTTTAGATAAAAGATATTATCAATCAGGTTGCTAGATTCAAACTAGTAAAAAAAGAGATTATACTAGACACAATATACTAAAAACAGATTACAATTCTTTTAGACTATTTAGATTGAAAAGTTAAAAACAAAAAATATAAGTTAGTATTAGAATTTAGATAAACTCTGCAAAAGTACAGTTTTGTTAATAAAACTGTAAAGTAAATAAATTAGTTAATAAGAAGGCCTTATTGAATCTACTATCAAATAATATGTTTTAAAATAAGTAATAGTCTAAGTACAAATTCAAAAAAAAGAAATTATATATTATCAAATAGTATTTATAAGTATATATAAGTTTGTAGCAAATTAAAATTTAATAAAAAACAGATAATCAAAAGACTTAGATAGATAATTTCTTAGTAGTTTATAAGTACAGCATTTAGTATAAAAAGTTGTATATATAACTAGTTGTATTCTTATCTTTGTAAAAAATAATTTTAATAGCTACTTCAAATTGTTAATAAAATACTATTATAAAGTATAGTCTTTAAAAAAACAATGCAGTATAATAAGTTAAAAATACAAATAATATATTATTTAGATTTGGATTATATAGCTTAGTAGTTAAGTTTCTAAACTTACTACAAACAAGTTTAATAGTTCAAGTTTAGCTAAAGATAAAATATATTTTGTAATCTAATTAAAAGCCTATAACTAGATGCAAAGCTTTGTAATACAAACCTAAGTGGATATTTGTTTGAATTAAAAATTTCTAAAAAGAAATTAATTTGTAAAATGCAAATACTATATTTAGTAAAAAAAGTGATAAATACAAGAAGACTTGTGAAAAAAAATTTTATTACTAATTAAAAAACATTTCTGATAGAAAAAACTTATAACAGACATAGTTGTAGAATCTATTTCTATTTTGGTAGAGTTTATTTTATAAATAAAGTAATTCAAAAATCTGATATATAGTAAATTAAATTTGATGCTATAAAAAAAGTATTAAAAAATAAGAAACTTTAAATAAAAAACTTATAGACAAATTTTAATTATAGCAATTAGCAAGTAACTTGTAAGCAAATCTTTAAATAAATAATGATTAAAATTGTATATATATTTAATTATAGTTTTATTAATATAAAAATATAATATTTCTAATATAAGTAATAAGTAAAATATTATACTTAATAAAAATTTATTAAGTTATAAAACTTTCTTTAAAACTTAAAAAACAATAATATATTATTTAAAAAATTCAAAATGGTTAATTACAAACAAAATAGTAATATTTTTCTAATTTGAATAATTCTTGTTATACAAAACAAATCTAACATTATAATATAAACAAACAACAAATTATTTAACAATATAGTCTACTCATTTATTATACAACAAATTTAAATATAATACTTATTAAATTAATATATTTTAACTTAATCAACTTGCCTAAAATTAATTACAATACAAAAGCAATTAAAAATTATATAATAATAAAAAGAAGATATATAAAATATTATACTTATTAGTGTTACTTTACAACAAAAGAAAATTAATTATACAAATATTAAACAAGTTGTTTTTACTATATATTGAAATAACTTATATATAAAATATATATTTAAAAGATTTATACAATATTTACAAAATGTATAGTATATTGCAATATAGTATTTATAAAACAAAATACAAGTATAAAACTTACTAGACCAGAAATAGATTTGATAACATTTTATAACTTATTAATTACAATGACAAACTAATTAGTAAATTTATATTATTGCAATATTTAGAAATAAAAAGCATTTAAAATTAAAATCTTAATCAATAAATTAGTCATATTTCTTAATTTCAATATCTGTAATCTAAACAAATACTTTGATTCAAACTGTCTAAGATGTCAAAACAGTTTAAAAACAAATATATACTGAATAATATGCTTTACTAATACAATAATAATAAAAATATTACTATTAAAACAATTAACACACTCTAAAGAAACTAAATATTAGTTTAACTAAAATTATTAAATCTATTATAAATACTCTAATTTTATAAAAAACTATACAAATAATTTCAATCATAATATTATTTGTATTCTAACAAATCAAAAAAATTAATCAATTAAATCAAAACTGAAGAAAAAACCAAATATAAATTAGTAATAATTCTATTGTTTTTGGTTTAGGTTACAAATAAACTAGTCTGAGCTCTTATTTTTGCAAGTAATTTTTATTTTGTTATATACAATCTTAGTTTATTTTAGTACTTTTGTACTAAATATATAGTTAAAATTATTAATAAAGCTATAAAAAAGGCCTTACCTTAATACCAAAAAAAAATCCTATTGTATAAGATAAACAAAAGATCTATTAACAAATATGGATATAAAAATACCAAACTATACTATACAATAACCTAGCAAATAACCTCTATAAATATAGCAACAACTAATATTATTATTACAACAATAACAACAAACACTAATCAAATAGATACTAGCCAAATTTAAGTTAAAATGATACAAATTAAACTAAAAAAATAAGCAGACTCTTTGTACAATATAATAAAATGCCTGACAACATAAGCACAATCAATGACTAGACAAGGCTTCAACCCCTTTTGACACAGCTACATGCACGCTATAATAATATTGTTTATTTGTATTAGTTTAATTGGTTAAAAAGATTTATTTCTAAAGTTCAAATTGCATCTTTATTGATTGTTATTAATAGCATACTTTTAGACTCAATAGCATGCCAAGGACCATTATACCGAGAACTCTTATTTGCATTCACAAATTTTCATCAGTTTCACCTACAACTCTAATGCTAGTGTATTATATGTAATTAGTATTAACTTATTATCTAGCATAATTTAGTGTCGCTAAGCATAGTTTTCATAATAAAAATTTACAAATTTTGCTTCTCATTTCTTTAACAATTTTCCTTACAATGAATCGCTAATAATGTCATTTTTTAGGATATTTTGTTATAATTAGGTCTATATATATTATCTGCAATGCTTTTCTTAATGAGTTTAGCTTAAATTAAAAAGAACCTGTAACTTTACCCACTTTTTTTATAAAGTCTCTTTGGTTGGTTAATTTTAAAATATGCATTTCATACTATGAATAGCAGCACGTTCCAATCTAACAAATAGAGTTCATAAACACTAACCTGATGATTTGATTGGATTATTTATTTCGGGTTGCAAAATAATGGGAATTCTGAAGTTCATTAAAAAAAAAATAATCATTGATTTCCAATTTCTTTATTTTTTTGACTTTTAAATTAGACACATTTATTATTTTGCAAAAATTTATTATTCTTTATAGAAATAAAAGTGCATATTCAATCAAATTTTTACAAATGATAAATGCACAAATTTTGTCTAATATAAAAATCAAAAAAATAAAGAAATTGGAAATCAGTGATTGCTGATCAAATTTCTTATAATTTTGCAATCTGATAAATGTTTAAAATTGCATTTTTACCATCGTATCATATTTTTTTTAGTTACATCAGATTTGCACATGTTATTTCCAGTGCTTGAAATTAGTATTCTCAGAGTTCTCATGAGAACACAAATTTGTGAGTGAGAACAGCTGAAAGCCGATTTTTTATATTAGAGAACACCCAAAAATTGATTCTAAAAACACTAAATAGAACATAAAAACACTATATTAGACTCAGATTTCAAACACTGGTCATTTCACTCTTCATGTAATAAATACTTTCATTCACATGTTCCTGCTATAATTTTATGACATAAATAAAGTAAACTGTTATAACAATAATCTTTTATGTTCGAATCTAAAACAAGTGAAATAAAATTGGTTTTAACAAAAGTGAAAAAGCTCATGCTGGTATTGATTTATAAACAGAAAATTTTATGCACAAACTGATAATACGGGTATAACCATGAATAAAGCAAGATATAACCACAATTTAAAAGTTCAAATTGGTATAATGATAAGAGAAATTCTATTTTGACCCGGGTCAAAATAACCCAACAGGTGATATTTTTGTGTTGCATAACAAACTTTTATATAATATAAAAATGCCCTGTCGGGTCAGTTTGACCCGGGTCAAAATAGAATTTCCCTAATGATAATCGATGTACAAAATGCCCAAAAAATCACTAGAGAATCATACAATCAAATACATGAATTCGGATAACCATTCACTTCGTTTCACTCCATTCCTGGCATATTCCGCATGTGCACACATTGTTAAACTATAAATTTTCTTGTACTTTAAATATCTAGAAATATAAAACATGGTACAGACACAATAATTTACGTTTACATATACTGTACAACTATTGTTTTTCCACTAACAGTTTACATATAAAAGACGTTTGCCTATGAAAAAAATTAATGAAGACGCTAATGCGACCTTTTCAGTAGGAAATCCAGACCAATTACCCGAAATGTTAGAAAGAATTATATGTGAACCTATTATATGTGTTGTAGAGGCAAAGTAAGCGAATACAGCAAAAAGTGCCCAACCTCTGCCTCTGCATAACAATGCCAATATTACAAAAAAGATTGGAATCAAGTATACGGCCCATACCCATTTACTAACAGCATAAGAAGTATGCAACAAACCAAAGCATAGTGCTGTCAAACCTATCCACCCAGCACCACCCAATACGCATGACATCGTTCCACCTATACATGCATAACACATATTGCGGCCGCCATCATTGTCTTGATCATTTTTGATCATAGCTGCCACACCGTCATTAAACATTTTGAAACTCCAAGGAGAGAGTTGTCCGATCGCTATAACAGTAAATGGCCAGTACCCTTTACACCGTAAACATGTAAAAATAGTTGGCCCTATTGTAAAAGTAGCCGAAATGAGAGCAATGAGTAGACCTTGAGATTGATAAGGTTTACACCATTTCCATGGCGAAAATAGTGGAAAATTTAAATATAACAATAAACTGGAAACAAATGACAAGGTCCAACAGATAAAACCAAATGTTCCAAATGGTAATCCATAACAAACTACTTGATTAGCTATCATTTGCTCATAACTATCTAATTTGAAAAAATAATTTAATATTTACGCTAAAAATTTTTGATTATGATAACTGTACAAAACTTACTTGTTGTATTATTTGACATGATTATTATCAATTATTATTTATTCGTTATATGATTGCCGAAATTCACATTCACAATAAAAAAATAGGAAAAGAAAAAAAGACTCTATATATTTGACGTGAATTTAGCTTTAGCTTAGCGATCAGGTATGACCTTCACGAATATCCATCACTGATGATTGCATTGTAGAATAAGTATATTATTTAATGTCACTTGAAATTTCAGAAAAAGTAACATTATTTCAAGCGAAATACCCGTTAAGTCAGGTTTGGCAATGGAGCCAATATATCTCGATGGTTACGTGAATGGAACTCAAAAAACTAGCATCTGTTTGTTCCATTCAGAGCTCCATTGAGCTCTGTTGCCAACCTTGCCTTTAAGTGATCAGATCTATTTCGTATAATGGTATATCTTTTTATTCGATATTCAGGCTATGTAATAATAATAATAATATACTTGCTCATCAGGGATTAGCGATAATAATGATTCGAATTATTAACAAAAGCTTGTTATAAACATGTTATCAGATCTGAATCGATCGATCTACCCATGCTATTATTACAGGTATTACTTTCAGAATAGCAGTACATATGACAAATTTCCCTTTATATTTGGTAGAAGATTTTTTTCTAGAATCTAAGCGTTGATATGCTTTACAAAAAAACGTGACCCTGTGATTTTCGTGATCATTACTAAATTTTTAATTGACTGTTGATTTATTTTGTTTATATATCAGCGGTTTGCAAAAAGGTGTGACCCACTTTTTCGTAATAACGATTCTAAGTAATCTATCCAATCTGTAATATTTAGATTTATTTAATTCACTTACGTATATTACATTAGAATCCTAATTTCTCATGATTTTAGTGGCATTTTGGTCAGGAACGGTGAATACTTCCACTGTTAAATCGTAAATTTTATCACGATAACATATCTATTCCGATATCACTACTGAGAACGTGTCCATCATGTGGTAATTAACCAATAAAAATTTGCATCTAGGCATTTTATTCCTCATTAAATTCCGGTTTATTCAATTAATCGGCAAGATTCCGTTTTATATCTTACGAAAGTATTCACCGTCCTCAATTATGATCCGCAAAGATCATACCTTTTTTTATAACGCAATAATTATTTAAATGCTATTACTATTGCCACGAGCGAAAACGAGATTTCAGAAATTAGTCGTAGCAAAATTTCTAGCATAGGATTGTGGCTTCGAACCGATCAGCATTATGGAATTTCGATCGTTACATGTGCGGCTTAGAAACCATAGGTAACAGAAGTGATACAAAAAACGTGAATCGAAAACGTTCGCTGAAATATTTTACGAGGCAGTGGAAGGAAATCCTTATCCCTTAAGGAAAAGCCGTTAAATTCCTAAGAGTTTGGGCTGTGAGAATAATAGATTAATTAATAAAAGCCCCTTCCGCCTCATACCGATGAAAATTATAAAAGAGCCATAATTACACCTTTGCAAGAATTAACTACATATTTAATTTAATAATAATAAATGGACTTATAATAGAAGAAAGTTCGGTTTATACCCATAGGTGAGATGATTTTCGATGAAATGAAAGTGTTGAGGAAGTGATTGTCGGGAAAACGAAAATGTTGGGGAAGGGATCGTCGAGAATGATTGAACCCAAATTTTAAAGTTTAAGAATTGCAGAAAAAATTTTTAACTTAAAAGTATTATACAAAATAAGTAACCTATATAAATTCTTAACATCTATTTTTTCAAAGTCCTGATTATTAAACATATAGGTTTTTATTAATATTTTTAATGTTCTTAATGGCATGAAAAAATTTTTTTTCGTGAATAATTGTACTTGAGAAAATAATTTTCCAGATAACTCGGATAATTAATAATCATGAATAGAGAATGTGCGTCGTTTTCAACAGGTAAATCTGCTCGTAGTAATTCGTGCATGAACATTATTTTGAAATTAACTATGCTATTTTTAGAGGCACTATTTTCAAAATTCGAGAGTTCACAATATGAATATCATGCGTAATTGAAGATCCGCGTAAAAAGTATATCTGATTATTATTATAGAGGTTCCAGTATTTCTCGTTATAAATGCTTTTTTAAAAAATAATCGTTTTTGAATTATTTATTAGTCCATCATAATATCATAGCAAATATTTATAACGTCAAAATAATGGCTACACATTCAGTCGACATTTCTGAGAAAATAGTTGAAAACATAAACATTTCAAGTATTGAGGAAAAAAGATTGTTAACAAAGCTTGATTTAAGAATCATTCCTTTGCTTACACTTCTTTTTACCCTTAGTTTCTTGGATAGGTATATCTCTTACTCTAATTAACAAATTCTATAATCAAGTTTTGAACAATCTTTATTATTTTAGGGTTAACATTGGAAATGCGAAATTAGCCCATTTGGAACGTGACCTTAATTTAACAGGGGATCAATTTAATTGGTGTTTGGCCATATTCTTTTTGTAAGCTTTATTTTAATTTTTTTGATATTTTATAATTCCGTGGTCTGAATTTACTTTTTACACTTACAGGGGGTATGTTGTATTTGAAGTTCCATCCAATATCATGTTAATCAAAATCAGACCTTCGATTTGGAGTTAGTTTGTATCTTTGTTTTCATGATTGATATATGTAGCTAATTGCTAAGGTGAAATTTATTCACGTCATTAATTTTTTCTTTATAGTTTCAACACTCACGGTCGGTTGGGGTATCACAATGATATGCATGGCATTTGTAAGTATTAATTAAAGATAATTTAGTAATAATCTATTCTAATCAACTCGTGATCAATTCGTGATTTAAATTATTAATTATTTTTCTAACTCTAAGGTAAAAAATTTTTCTCAGTTGATGGGTGTAAGATTTTTATTGGGTGTTTTTGAATCTGGTCTTTTCCCCGGTATCATATTTTACATTACAAAGTGGTATAAGAGATCTGAGCGAGGTTATCGAATTAGCTTATTTTTTTCTGGTGCTACGATTGCCGGTGCATTCAACGGTCTTTTAGCATTTGCTATCACAAAATTAGATGGTAGATCTGGTTTAAGTGGTTGGCAATGGGTACACATGTATTTATTATATGTTCCTTATTTAATTCATAATATTTTAAATCCTTTATAAATTTTTTTTTTTGTTGTATCATTTTTCTTAATCTCAGATATTTCTTATTGATGGGATTGCGACAGTCATTGCCGCACTTTTCTCTTACTTTTTAATCTCGGATTATGCAGAAACCGCTACTTGGCTTACAGAAGATGAAAGAAAGTTAGCCATTGATCGATTACGAATTGATGGGGGACATGCTCATACAACTCATTTTGATAAATTTCAGATTTTTCAAGCTTTTAAAGATTTGGTAATGCATACAAAAAGCATATATATATCGTATATATTTGTTATCAATTTATTTTATATTATATACAGTCTACCCTCGTTATAGTGTAGTGATCAAGTTGAGAATTTCTGCCCATTATATTGAATATCCGCTATAGCGTTATATAATATAATAAAACTTTTAAATTGTTCTAGAGGATTACTCTGTTATGACGAGGTATCCGCTATAATGGAGTCCGTTATAACGATGGTAGACTGTATTTGTATAAAAAATAACTAATGTATTAATTTATTTATTATTTAGAAAGTCTATATATACATGCTTATGTTTTTTTGCGTGCTTGTTATCTTATACTCTTTTTCTTTCTTCATTCCAACCATTGTAAATGGTCTAGGATTTAATTCAGGTAATTTTTAATAATTATTTACTATTATGTCTATTATCTGATTTAATGTATCACTCAAAAATTTATTTTTGTACTTATTATATTTATTTATAGTTATTTCCCAACTTCTTTCCACTCCCCCATTTATTTTGGGATGTATTTCGTCTATTGTGATAGCGATATTATCTGATCGTCATAAAGTTCGTAGTCCATATTTAATATCTTGTTTGTTAGTGGTAATCCTGGGATACGCGTTACTTCTTGCAAATCATTCTAGTATTGCATGTAAGTTTTATTTGTAGATTTTTAATCTTAAACATCTCTGCATTGAAGTAATATATTTTGATATTTTGTACTCCTAGTGAAATATTCAGGTGCTTGTATTGTTGGATTGGGTTTTTTTTCATGTATCCCTACTTTACTTGCATGGTAAGTCTATTTATTGTATATATATTTTTTATTTATCTAGTTTGTTTAAATCTTTTAACTATATTTTAACTTTTTTTTAATTAATGAAATGAATTTAAACAAAAATAAATAAATTAAAATCAATAAAAGGATGCTAAATAATTTGGCAGGTGACTCAAAGCGTGCTGTGGGCTGTGCAATAGCGGTATCCATGGGCAACTTAGCTGGATTTGTAAGCGCCCAATTATACCGACCTAGTGATGCACCAGCTTTTAAAATTGGACATTCTATTGCATTATCGTTCTTATTTATTGCATTAATTTTAACTATAATTCAAGTTTATTATTTGAATAGAATGAATAAAGATAAACTTAACAATCCTAATAAATTTTTGAAAGGACTTAATGAGGAGGAGGCTAAACACTTGGGTGATTTACACCCTTCGTTCATTTATAGTATATAGATAGTACATATATAGTTATAGTTTATGACAGATTATTCAATGGCATCACTCATATCAGGTATATTAGAACTAATTACGACATGACATCTAATTTATAGGATATGTTCCTTTACAAGAGTCTGAAATTTAAGAAATATAAATGTAATTTTACAGTTACTGCGCGGGTATGATGTAACAACCCGTGCAAGTCTTTTATTTAATCAATCACTTTATTATTAAATTATTATTCTTAAGATTTAAACAGTGTTTTTTTAGCTTTTTTTTTTTTTAATTAGACTCATATTTGATATTGTTAAATTAGGAAGGTTCTATTTCAGAAAGAAAGAAGGCAAAGATAAGAGTTACTCCAGTTCTTCCCCTGCTTTGTTAAATATGCTAAAAAATATGTACACTCTCTAATCTTGCAAAACAAAATTCCGTTTATGAAGAGATACCGTATTTCGTATTTTGCTAAATAATAACTGCGCGATATTATAGTTACTGCCAAAATTCATACGTATTACTTATTATATATTGGATATGTAAT